ACTCTCTGCTCTGATGGTTTGTGCAGCAGGTGTTTGAACATCAGGCAGGCAAAGTCACAGTGTAAACCCTAGAAGAAAGTTCGAGATCATGATAAAGTCAGAATTCTATTGTTAACATGGAATATGAATTGCTTCATTCTTTCCTATATCCTCATACAACTTGCCTGGCCACACTGAGAGCACGTCAACTGTGGACTGTCAAGGGGACAACGAATGACTGTCCACTCTGCTGATGTCAATGAGGCAGACCTCAGCCCCACCCAAGGCTCTCAAAGCTGCCCCCTACGTAACAGGCCAGGCCTTTTCCTCACTGCCCTGTGGCGTCCAAAAAGGAGTGAAAACTTTGCACAAGTATTCTTTTCACAGCCATGGGCTCCATAATTTTGCCTCTATCCCCAGAGGGACAGGACAGTTACCTTTTAGATGCTCAAGTACTAAGGATGCAATTTCAAGTGAAACAAATCTGCAAACCTGAGTGCATTAAACCCAATAAGCTCCAGTTTATCTTCCTACAAGGGAAGATCAGCTGTTTGATCTGCCCATTGGGCTCCAGAAATGGGAGGGTTCATGCTCCTTGCCCTTCTGATGCGATTTAAACCAGACAGTCTGGGCATCTTCACCTTCCTTTCCTCAGTTTAATCCAAGTGCCTATAAAGGCAAGCTGGAACCAAGTGGATTATTTCATCAGGAAGCTTACCAAACTTTGAAATATAGTAGGCTCCATGAACCCAACTACCATGTACACTATAATGCATAATGCACCAATAAAAGAAAAAAGTCGATTAAAAGTAAAAAAAAAGAAAAAAAAAATACATGCACGTACAGAATCACAGAATATTAAACAAAATACTCCCCAAAATCCCATCAAGTACTCTTAGTTTTGTGCTCTTATACATATACATATAATAAGTATGTGCATAGGAATGTATTATACTGAAGATGAGTAGAATATTGATACACAAAGCACTTCATTCTTTTCGGAGTATGTATGCAGCTGAACTCTTAAATGTGGAGGTGATGCCATTTGATAACCTTCAGTGCACACAAGGGTGGGCCTAAGAGTTGCAGGTATTTGGTGTGCCACTTTAGCCAGTTTGATTTAGACTCACCTCATCTCTGCTAATAAGTTCATTGGAAAATGTGAGGCCAGGCATCAGTCCTCGTTTCTTGAGCCAGAATATTGATGCAAAAGAACCAGAAAAGAAGATTCCCTCCACAGCAGCAAAGGCTACAACACGTTCTCCTGTTGAAGAGTTAATATCAAAATGTTCTTTGTGAGCAACTGTTGGTATTCACAGGAGGCCAACAGCCCAGTAAAAAAGAAGCCCAGGTTTAACTAGGACCAAGGGCTTCCTTACCATAGGTAGCCTCTTTGTCCCCAATCCAACGCAAGGCCCAATCGGCTTTCTTCTTCACACAAGGCATTGTTTCAATGGCATTGAAGAGAAATTCCCTGTAGGTATAKTAATACATCATGAGCAATGATGGTGAAGAACTGACCCCAAACTTCTAAACAAGAGCACTAGGTTAAAGGTCAAATGTAAGGGTTTACCAATTCTCTCCCCCAAAGGAAGGACTCAAAAAAAATTTATTTTTCCTTTTTACTGGTCAGCTTTTCCCTCCAGATTTAAAAAAACTCAACATTCATTTGACTTATGTTACACACAAATTTAGGTATTCTTTAGTTCATATTGAGCTCCAACATCTACTTACACTAAAACTCAGTCCATTATACCAGGATTATCTATTTTTACAGTGCTGGGGATTGAACCCAGGCCCTCACGTGGTGAGCGATCTGAGTTCTACTCCCAGTCCTTTCACAGATTTTACTGAAGATGCCCAGGATGGCCTAGAACTTTCAATCCACTGGCTTCAGCCTTCTGAATAGCTGGAATTCCAGGCATTCACCACTAGACCTGGCTCTCCAGAACTTATGGGCTTCCTCATTTCAAATCAAGATCATAGTTCACAGGCCCTACCTTCTTTAAATTTAAAGAACCATAAAATCTTAACTGCTATGCTGACTACTATCCCACTAAATGGACAGTCCTATCAAAGACTATACTGGGTACATTAGCTGGGCCAATTGCCAACTATATAATTAAACCAAGAAGGTATCCTTACCACCACTCTCTGCCTCCCATTTATTCTGGGGTCCACTTGGGAGTGCAATGACATCCCTGCCCCTCCTTCCCAGATGACCTTGTTATCTGAGGCCAGTCATCAGCACCAAGCCAGCTTCATTCTCCTTGCATCTCAATGTCCACTTCCACTCAAAACCTCAGCCTGCCTCTCTCTTGCTTTTGAGGATTAACCACCAGACCTCCCTGACCATACTTACCCCTTTGGGTAACTTACCCAATCATGGCTCTGTTATCTTTCCTATTTCTATCTATAAACATGTCTAAATCTCTTTACTCCCAAAGAGTTTCTTCAAACAACCCATTGCTGACGTCCTCTTCTCTCCAATCTCCAAAACATAAATGGACCTCAAGCTACCTTTATTTTTCTACGATCCCCTAATACAAACTAATTTCAGCTCAACTATCTTCCCTGTGCCTAAATTAATCTTATGGCTCAAAGCTGTCCATATCATGTCTAGATCTTAATTTTCTGTACTATATTATAAACTTCCTAAGAGGTAAGTTACATCTTTATCCTTCCTTATCACCCTGTCCCAACCCTACTCTATAAGTATAATTTGCCAAACCTCAATGTTACTTTTTCACTCAACCTCTAAAGATGTTTTTCAAAAGAAAACATTAGATTTTTACATAGTATACTTCTAACTCTAATTAAGTGAATTTAGGCCCCTTATTCAGAGCAAACATGACCATGGGTGCTAGAAGTTTATAACAATCTGCTTAGTCATTCTAGAAACATTTTTATCCCTTTGAAAAAACTTGAAGTTATTAAGGGAATCCAAAACATCCTGGCATACCATTTGAATACCCACCTTTCTTTGGGGTCTTTAATGTAAGTGTCAATAAGGAGACTATACATTTCAGAATGTATGTTTTCCATGGCAATTTGGAAGCCATAGAAACAGCGGGCTTCTGTAACTTGAACTTCTTGGCTAAATCGCTCCACC